TTTACTTAAATAATCCATTTTCTTCCAATAGTTTTACACAATTCACTAAATGACATTGACTTATAAACTATATATTTTCATTGCGTTTTCCAAATCATATTGACCAAACTATATTAATCATCAGATGTTTATAACATCACTGATTGAACATGTGCTGTAAAAAAGCAAACACTTCCCTACAGCTGTACAATAATGTGTTGTAAAAAATTGCTTTTACAATATTAAAACTGTTTACTTTGAACATGAACTTTTGAATTTATTACCTAACAAAATTCACAAGCTTTGTGCAAAACATTAACCATCGACTTGCTTCTTTTTTTTTACAAGAAAAAAATACTAACAGGAACAGAGGAGTAATATCATTAAGCACAAAAAGGGGGTTATGCGTGATCATCACAACCGCGTGTATTTAGGTGTAGCAACAAAACTTTGGTCTAATCCCATTGCATCCTGATAAGGTGCCCCAGGGGACCATTCAGGCATGCTCGATCCTGGGTGACTTGGGATAGCCTGTGCACCACTATGCCAGCTTGGGTAAGGGCTAAAATTTGCGTTATATCTGTGTTCATTGCTGGAATAGGGAATGCTGTGAAAGCTGGCCTCACTTCTTTGGTTGAGCAAAAGCTGAAACAATTTGAGCTCATGCTGTCTAGACTTTTCCATTTCTTCTTTCATAAATGATATCAGTTCTTTTGTGGGGTCATTTTGAACAGCCTCCTTTACAAGGGTCAGTGCCTCTATTGTTGCTGTATCCAATCTCTCTTTAGATGACTGCCTTCTTTTTGCTTTCACAGGAACAAATAGTTCTTTTTCTTTGGCACTATCATCCACACATTCTCCCGAAAGATCACTAGGTGAAGGTGAGGCTGAGGGTTCCAGTGCTAAATCAGGCTGACAAGATTCTCTTGTCTTCACTACTTCAAACAAAGCAGTGAACCACTTGCCAAATCCTTGATCCTCCTGAAATCTTTTGATCCCAGTTGCTGTTTTTTGTGTCAGGGCTGCTTGCTTACACACGCAGACACATTTTTTGAACTTGCTACGCAACTGATTAACAGAGAAATTGAAGTTTTCACCCCTTGCAGAGGCTCTAGCTTTAACTTCTTTCAAAATCTCTCCATACAGCTCTCCATTTCTTTGATTTTTTGTGTTTGTAAAAATAAGTTTCTTTTTATATGAGTTGCTACTCACGATGATATCTATAAGATCATCAAGTACCCGTGGACACCACTTGGCTTTGCGACCAGGTTTCTTTTTCTTGTTTCCTTTTGCTTTTTTGAAGAAAAGTTTGCGGGATGTTTTCGAGTCTCCATCACTTTCATCCTCTTCTACCTCATCATCATCGTCGGATTCAGCCATTTGTTTCCTACCAGTGGCAGAAAAATAACAATAACACACTTTATCATCGAGGTAATGATAACAATAACATACATTATTATTCAACCAAAATATTTTTCCTTTTCGGAGATGGCTTAGCCAGTGTTGATCATGATAAGTGAAAGATTTATGTGAATTGTTCAATAACTCAAAAGATTATTGAACTGTGAGGGTGCATAAGCTCAAGTGTTTTTGCAGAGCTTAAGAAAATGGTCAAAAGGGGGGATAGAATTGCACAGGTTATTTGAAGTGAAATAGCCAAATAAAATAGTGTCTAAAAAACATAACAACAGCAGGGAAAATACCACTCAAGAAGAATATCTGCTAGTTTAAACATCCATTTATATAGAGACAGAAACTTCCATCAGGCGAGGAAAGCATCCTTTTTACTTCGAAATATTTTTCAAGAATTCTTAGTTTGCAACCATGCGATAAGGCAGCCATTTTGGGGGTCAATAAGGATGATTAGTACTACAATAATAATATATATATTTATATCTTATCCACTACATATAAATATCTGCTTTTGCTATATTCCACTGCATTACTTATATTAACATTCATCTACAAACGTTTGTAAGTAACTGCTTAACTTGTCTGTTAATGGTGGGAAACAAGTTTTAAAGATCACAGGTATAACATCACATGGCAATAGAAGCAAACTTTGCTTCTATTGCCACGTGATGTTATACCTTATACTTAGTAAGGGTTGTTTCATATTCGAAACTATACATGAGGATGTATTGTTTGTACACTGACCTTTTCCTTTTATCTCCATTCACCGATTTTTTTTTAGTGGAAGGTCGTTCTTCTTGCTTCTCAGGAACTGTATCTTCGCGGGATTCATCAGAATCGTCATCTACAACATTCACGGTCTTTAATTCGCTCTCTTCCATGACTTCTTTGAAGCATGGCTCGCAATATGCCACTGAACTCCCCGCTTTCCAACCAATGACAGTTTCATCGTCCTCAAAGATGGAGCAGGGCATGCAGAAATATTCCTTGCACTTCAAACAAGTATACTTTGTAGTTTTTAGGCAAGACGAACAACATTGCTCTTCTTTCCCCGCCATTTTATTCGAATGTTGTCTTTTGCGCATGACAACTACGTAAAAACTAGTGGGATTGTGGGAAAAAAATTACTAATTTAATGTATGCATAATGTATGCATTAGGTTCGGCACATGTGAAGTTCGACGTATGAATCAATTAGGAACGGCACTTTTGTATTTGGGTCGACTCTGCCGTTCTATTCGACTGAGCTAGTCGAATAGAACGGCAAAAGATCGGCTTCGATTCATACGTCGAACTTCACATGTGCCGAACCTAATGCATACATTATGCATACATTAAATTAGTAATTTTTTTCCCACAATCCCACTAGTTTTTACGTAGTTGTCATGCGCAAAAGACAACATTCGAATAAAATGGCGGGGAAAGAAGAGCAATGTTGTTCGTCTTGCCTAAAAACTACAAAGTATACTTGTTTGAAGTGCAAGGAATATTTCTGCATGCCCTGCTCCATCTTTGAGGACGATGAAACTGTCATTGGTTGGAAAGCGGGGAGTTCAGTGGCATATTGCGAGCCATGCTTCAAAGAAGTCATGGAAGAGAGCGAATTAAAGACCGTGAATGTTGTAGATGACGATTCTGATGAATCCCGCGAAGATACAGTTCCTGAGAAGCAAGAAGAACGACCTTCCACTAAAAAAAAATCGGTGAATGGAGATAAAAGGAAAAGGTCAGTGTACAAACAATACATCCTCATGTATAGTTTCGAATATGAAACAACCCTTACTAAGTATAAGGTATAACATCACGTGGCAATAGAAGCAAAGTTTGCTTCTATTGCCATGTGATGTTATACCTGTGATCTTTAAAACTTGTTTCCCACCATTAACAGACAAGTTAAGCAGTTACTTACAAACGTTTGTAGATGAATGTTAATATAAGTAATGCAGTGGAATATAGCAAAAGCAGATATTTATATGTAGTGGATAAGATATAAATATATATATTATTATTGTAGTACTAATCATCCTTATTGACCCCCAAAATGGCTGCCTTATCGCATGGTTGCAAACTAAGAATTCTTGAAAAATATTTCGAAGTAAAAAGGATGCTTTCCTCGCCTGATGGAAGTTTCTGTCTCTATATAAATGGATGTTTAAACTAGCAGATATTCTTCTTGAGTGGTATTTTCCCTGCTGTTGTTATGTTTTTTAGACACTATTTTATTTGGCTATTTCACTTCAAATAACCTGTGCAATTCTATCCCCCCTTTTGACCATTTTCTTAAGCTCTGCAAAAACACTTGAGCTTATGCACCCTCACAGTTCAATAATCTTTTGAGTTATTGAACAATTCACATAAATCTTTCACTTATCATGATCAACACTGGCTAAGCCATCTCCGAAAAGGAAAAATATTTTGGTTGAATAATAATGTATGTTATTGTTATCATTACCTCGATGATAAAGTGTGTTATTGTTATTTTTCTGCCACTGGTAGGAAACAAATGGCTGAATCCGACGATGATGATGAGGTAGAAGAGGATGAAAGTGATGGAGACTCGAAAACATCCCGCAAACTTTTCTTCAAAAAAGCAAAAGGAAACAAGAAAAAGAAACCTGGTCGCAAAGCCAAGTGGTGTCCACTGGTACTTGATGATCTTATAGATATCATCGTGAGTAGCAACTCATATAAAAAGAAACTTATTTTTACAAACACAAAAAATCAAAGAAATGGAGAGCTGTATGGAGAGATTTTGAAAGAAGTTAAAGCTAGAGCCTCTGCAAGGGGTGAAAACTTCAATTTCTCTGTTAATCAGTTGCGTAGCAAGTTCAAAAAATGTGTCTGCGTGTGTAAGCAAGCAGCCCTGACACAAAAAACAGCAACTGGGATCAAAAGATTTCAGGAGGATCAAGGATTTGGCAAGTGGTTCACTGCTTTGTTTGAAGTAGTGAAGACAAGAGAATCTTGTCAGCCTGATTTAGCACTGGAACCCTCAGCCTCACCTTCACCTAGTGATCTTTCGGGAGAATGTGTGGATGATAGTGCCAAAGAAAAAGAACTATTTGTTCCTGTGAAAGCAAAAAGAAGGCAGTCATCTAAAGAGAGATTGGATACAGCAACAATAGAGGCACTGACCCTTGTAAAGGAGGCTGTTCAAAATGACCCCACAAAAGAACTGATATCATTTATGAAAGAAGAAATGGAAAAGTCTAGACAGCATGAGCTCAAATTGTTTCAGCTTTTGCTCAACCAAAGAAGTGAGGCCAGCTTTCACAGCATTCCCTATTCCAGCAATGAACACAGATATAACGCAAATTTTAGCCCTTACCCAAGCTGGCATAGTGGTGCACAGGCTATCCCAAGTCACCCAGGATCGAGCATGCCTGAATGGTCCCCTGGGGCACCTTATCAGGATGCAATGGGATTAGACCAAAGTTTTGTTGCTACACCTAAATACACGCGGTTGTGATGATCACGCATAACCCCCTTTTTGTGCTTAATGATATTACTCCTCTGTTCCTGTTAGTATTTTTTTCTTGTAAAAAAAAAGAAGCAAGTCGATGGTTAATGTTTTGCACAAAGCTTGTGAATTTTGTTAGGTAATAAATTCAAAAGTTCATGTTCAAAGTAAACAGTTTTAATATTGTAAAAGCAATTTTTTACAACACATTATTGTACAGCTGTAGGGAAGTGTTTGCTTTTTTACAGCACATGTTCAATCAGTGATGTTATAAACATCTGATGATTAATATAGTTTGGTCAATATGATTTGGAAAACGCAATGAAAATATATAGTTTATAAGTCAATGTCATTTAGTGAATTGTGTAAAACTATTGGAAGAAAATGGATTATTTAAGTAAATAATGAATTATTTAATTTAAAGGATTTATTTAATTTTTATTTTCCTTCATTGAAAACAAATATTCCATTTTAGATATTATGTACATGTATATTGAAATCGGTTTGTATTATTTACTTACCATGACAAATTATGTGACATGGATCGAATAAATAACAGAGCACGTTATCATCATTTTTATGGAAATAATATTGGCTTTTTTTGGTTTAATGTATTTCCTTCCACCTGATATTTAAGTGCACAGGACTTATATATTGTTCCTAAAATATCCATACCCACCTCATTGAGGACAATTGCACTTTTTGAACAGAAGAGATCCTTAAATGGCCCAAGTTGTTGAAGGAAAGTATGGAGACAAAAAGGGGAGTATGGATATTTGTGGAACAACACTATGTAAAAAACCATTTTTAGTCCCTTTATGTGGGTAGTGCATTTCCTTCTACACCAATGATGCTCTCAATCTGCTTAACTCAAGTACATCAATACTGCAAGTGGTACAAAATGGTGAGCCTTAAAAACTTCTAGCAAAACAATATAAAGTTCAATGTTTTGGGATATCTGTATTGAATGTTTATTGGAAGCTAACAGTAAGAGTTGCTTGACATTATAACCACTATGGGTTCTTTTTGTGAAATTTTTGACACTAACACGCATTCATCAAAGAGCTATACAAAAGACACTAACAATCAACTCATGAAAGTACTGCAGTCCTTTTTAACTGTGGGATTGATACACTACAATGTAGTAAATTTACCTTGACCATGAAACAGTTTGCAGTAGGTATGTTTAAAAGAATATTGAAGTGTATCGGTCTAGTATGGTCTTTTGTTTTGACTTAAGGTACATTTCTTTCGAATTGGCCCTTCAGAATGTTACATTCTTTTTAAGCTATATGCACGGGTGCTAAATACACCCCTAATTACTTCTTGGCTATTGACTAGTCCTCAGCCCAGCAGCAGCTAATTGGGGTTAATCTAATTGTGCAGTATCTGTTTCATGGTCCAAGCATAATCATACAAAAGCCAGCACTACTTCAGCATCATTAGGGATACTCACAAATTCCACCACTATCAAATAGATGTAAAGTTGACTAAATGTTTCACAACTACTCTGATTTTGCAATAAGTTGTGAAAAATGAGTGCTACATGTACATGTATGTATTGGGAAATTTGTGAATATACCAATGCCCCCTTAAACTAATAATGGACTATGTAGCAGTTAACAAACTTTCCCTGTTTGCTTCTCAAGCCATAATTTTGCACAAAGTGCATCTCTGACTCTAGCTGCCTCATAAGAAGCATCCTTTAGGCTTGGGCAGTCGCTCATCTGCAGCAACTTTCTCAACTCCTCCCTGTCCCTCTTTCCACCACTTTCATCCACAGATAGATCAAGCTTTCTTGAGATGGCATCTCCCTGCATAATACAAATATTATGAAGTACAATACATGCTAGGGTGGTTATGCGGACTTGATCTCGGCTGGTTTCACTTTTCCGGAGTAGGACTCTCCACCTACCCTTAAGTTGGCCGTATGCAGCTTCTGTGACCATGCGTGCTCTACTCAAGCGATAGTTGAAGTAACGCTGCTGAGGTGTCAATACAGCATTGGTAAATGGCTTCATTAACCAAGAACGAAGGGGGAATGCAGAGTCTCCAACAATGAGGGGTGGGACAGTAATTTCACCCACATCTTTACCAATTGTTGGAATAAAACCTTCTTGTATTGAGTTCCAGAGGTCGGTGGAACGAAAAATTACAGCATCATGGGAGTTCCCGGGGAACCCACAGCTGCCCCAAACAAATCTGTAATGGGAATCTACCAGGCCCATTAGTATTATGGAATAAAAGTTCTTAAAGTTATGATATTCCTTGCATGCCTCAAGTCCACCAGGAGGGCATTTAATGGGAATGTGACAGCCGTCTATTGCTGCCCAACAGCAAGGAAATTGCCAAAACTCGTCCATATCCAACATTTTTTTCTTAAAGTCATCCTGAGTCTTGGGCATATGACTAGACACGCACTCACTCCAAAGATGGTCAACAAGGAGCTGGCAGACTTCATTAACGATGGAACATACCGTTGATAATCCTAAACCTGCCATCTCTGCGATAGTATACAAATAATCTCCGCGGCCCAGTCGATACAAACAAAGAGCTAGCCTCAGTTCTGGGGAAATTGGATCCTCCGTCACTATTTCTCTAGCAAGAAATGGGCCAATGCGATTTAATATGTACCTGAACGTTGACCGAGAAACCCTAAATGTTTTCTTGAATCTCGCCTCCGAATAATTGTTCCAAGCATTCTCCCACCATCCAGTGTTTCTGGTCAACCGACGACAGGAGCGAGACACAGGAGTGATGCTGTTTCGTTGCGATGAAATCAACAATAAAACAAGCAAACAAGTATTCAATACTTTCCTCCTCCGAGCTACTAGGTTGTTTAATGCCATTTGCATGTTAAGGCGCCTTCTTCTACCTTCACGGATGGCATTAGCGATTAGAACTTCTTCAGCATTGTTTCCCGCGCTAGAAAACTCCGCCATGTTGAATTGGTTGATTATGATTGACCGCTGACCATAATGGGTTTAATTTTGTTATTCGGCAGTTTGGTTCGACTCTATTAGGATCGACGTCTGAATCAACTGCCGAACTTAATTATTTAGGTCGACCCAAATAGGTATTAGGTTCGGCACATGTAAAGTTCGACGTTTGAACCGGGCCTTAACGCCTGTATTTATAAGCCAAAGTCACAGGGGCCGATGACCGTAAAGGCTTGGCCGGACTTACGAACAGGAACAGGCGAAGTTGTGAAAAATTAGTGAAAAATTTAACACGTGTAAGGCAAGGTGAGAAAAACATTTTGGGGGCCACGGTTTTAGCTAAAACAAAAACAAAACAAAACAAAAAAAAAAAACTGCCTGAAGAAGTTTACGACAGTTAGACGAAACGCGTAGGAAAATACAAGAAGTTTTACAACTACTGTTCGCAAAAGTGCTGCTCACTAGTCTATAATTAAAAAATTGTTTCAGTTCAGGAGTTAGACAATTATTTGCTCCTGTTTCGTATCTGTAACACACGACCTTAGTTCTTGTAGCCACGTGCTTCATAGTCCAATGTTTTATTTTTGCGTTTTATTTCAGTAGACCTCATTTTGAATTAATTAGCGTTATTCTACACGCGAGAAACAGTTTTCTGAACTAGCAACATTCCGCTTAAATTTGGTTCACGTTTCGGTTGTAGACTTATAATTAAACAAAGATCTCCTACGCGAAGTATTTCAACGAAATGGGAATAGAGAAACCCTGAGATACGCTTTGTAAACAATCATTATCAGGAGGTGTTGACTATCTGCCAAGTTCTTTTGCTATTGAGGACTGCAATCCACTTTTGTGATACAGCAATATGGACGGTAAGATGATATTATGTTAAATAAGCTGTAGATTGGATGTAAAATGCGAAACAATTGAGTTTGTGTGTGAATGTGAACATTTTCGAACAAGTGATGGCTTCGTCAAATCAGCTCATTTTATCTAACTTTAAAATTGAATGAAGTCGCACTGAATCATTTCCCCAAAAAATCCTTTGGAGATCGAAAAGAACCACACTTCGCCTTCCAAAAGCCAGATTTTCAGTCGATTATTTTGTTTAGCACATAGTTAAACAACGGGTTACTTTTGCCGGACCTATTTTTAATCTTGTTAGAAGAAGGTCAGTTAAATTCAATTAGATTGTATAAATAAACGATCAAGAATTGCTCAAATTGCTGTCAACATATGTATTGATGTTGTTTTTCAAGATTTGGTAGTTTTTATTGGTCCAAATGTTTTCAATTCGTGGCGCGACGCCCCGAGATTCGTCTGAAATTTTGAGCTTCAAAAGCGGCATTTGTTTGAACTTCAGTTATTATCGATTTTCTCGAAAATAAATCGATATTCAGCCAAACGAAGTATGCAGTGCTTTGTTTCACCATAAGGCCTACCTAACTTGAGAATATGAGCCGAATCGAGTTTTTGGCTGTTGCCACCAAATGTTTGACCGTTGGTAACATTCGCTCTTAAAATTGGAAAAGAACCCAAACTTAGAATTAAACGAACACAAACTTAAAATCGGAAACGAATAAAAACAAATAGTGAAGCCAGATTGCTGAATATACGAATGCGTGTACCTTAGTACCAACCGTTTTTCAATTGCGTAAGAAAATGAAATGGCATTTCGCTGCGCTGTAAAAAAACCAAATTGGACTTCAATTTTCGATGTTCGTTTTTGACTCATTCATTGCGAACCAGTGGATGAGTTTATGTGGAGAGTGGGAAAACGGCGTTAGCAGAAATTTACGTAGACAGATGTGCGGCGTTACCAGAAATAGCGGAAGTGACGTAACAAACTGGTTGAGGGAATTTTAGAGTCAGTAAATAAAATTAGTCCAAAAATCTTCTCTCAAAATGAGCCCGCGTACCTGCCTCCCCTCCAGAGGCTATTTTTCTCCATCGGGTCTTGTGTTTCGTGCCTGAGAAGGCAGCCATATTCTTAGTAGGAAGGAATTTTCGACTGGCTTTCACACGTCATTTCGGGAAGTAAATTCGCTCTATTTTCCATTATTTTATTCCCTCTAAAACAAACAACACATTGTGGTACAACAGCCGCACAAGGCTCTGCGATACAATTGCGTACAAGGCCCAGCTATCAAACTGCCAAACACATTTGCCTCACAAACTGTTAAGATGCAGTTTTATAGCGTAATGCAAAGCTTTATCGGCTTTATACAGGAGAATTTTAACTCCATTGTTTGTAAACTACGTTCGTTTCTTTGCCTTGGTTGTTACCAGAACTGTTAAGATGCAGTTTTATAGTGTAATGCAAAGCTTTATCAGCTTTATACAGGAGAATTTTAACTCCATTGTTTGTAAACTACGTTCGTTTCTTTGCCTTGGTTGTTACCAGAACGATGAATCATAAAGTCAACTGGATGATAGTGGAGCGAAAACTCAGCCACTAGGATGTAAACCGGTGTGTATACGCAACGACGAACACTCTGATAAACCAATCAAGGAAACAATGCAGGTAAATAAACAAATCACTAGAAGATCTCGCATACACCTATTTATTAATTCAAGCCAGCCCCGTGAGATTTACAAGTCGAGAGACAGAGCAGTCTCGAGAATTCCTGCAATGCAATTAAAATGCATTTTGCAAAGAGTTGAAAAGTGAGAAAACTAGTACGAAAACAAACCCTAGATTAGTTCCAAGGTCATCGAAACTCCATGAATATCTCAGCACAAAAAGTCATGTGTACCACAGGCTAACTTATGACCTGTTTCGCATGACACTTAAACGCAAACAATCCAAACAGTTTGTAAAATATAGCTCCTCTGCTAATCAGTGCCTTTATTTAGTTTTTGTGCAAATTAGAAGTACTAAACACAAGAAAGTACCTTTTGTTAGTTACATTACTAATGTGACAGGTTTAGCTATATTGAAATGTTCCGGTTTAAAAGCATAATGGGTGTCGAGTGGTATTGTCTCACTCAGTGGTGATGTAGAGAAAAATCCTGGTCCTACCAATCAGTGCAATGAAAACAGAAATGCAAATCGTATCCGTAGCCAACCCAGTTTCATTACTAGAATCCAGATTGTCTCAAATTGGTAGAGTTGCTATTGATGTTGGAGGTGCAGGCGATTGTTTCTTCCGTGCCATATCACATCAGCTGTTTAGGACTCCTGAGTATCATTTGCATGTACGGAGCCAAGGAATTCAGTATTTAGTGCATAACCCAGAGCTGTTTATAGAAAGCAATACTGAACGATCATGGCAGCATTATCTCAATCACATGTCAAGAGAAGGAACATGGGCTGATAGAACAATAATTCAAGCAGTTGCTAATTGTCTTAATTTGACAATCAAAATAGCAGAATCATTTGAAAACTTTTGTCCTCTCACGTCTCTCACAGTTATCCATCCAGTCAACATTCAGAGCAATTCAACACAAGTTTATATAGCTCACATAGGAGAATATCATTATGTTTCTACAGTAAATATTTTGAATTTGCAATGTCACAGACAAGAACTGGTGGCAAATGATTATAAAGAGCAACAGTTAGTTTGTGCGGTTAAAAGTAACGACAAACAAGCAAAAGAGAAACAAAAAGCATGTCAGAAGGATTACGTCCAAAGCAAAAGACTAAATACTGCTCATACAGAAATGGACACTATTAAAAGACGAAAAACAAAACCAATATCTGGAGTAGAACAATTAGATAAAATCACAAAACGTAAGGGTTACATGAAACAGCTTATGCAAAAGAAACGAAAAGACCCTGAGTTTAAAGAAAAAGAAAAGAAAAGAAAAAGAGGCAAAGCAAAAACACCTGTACATCTGCCAAAAAAAGATAATACAAACGCTACTACTTATAATGCAGCAGCAGCAAAATTAATTTTTGACAACAATAATACAAGTATGTGTAACACAGTTAGAAATCATAGTGAACAAGCAAGAGAAAAACAAAATACACGCAAGAAGCGTTACATCCAAAAAAAGAGGATAAATACTGCTTATACAGAAATTGAAGACATTAAGAGACGAAAAACGCAACAAATACCTGAAGCAGAACAAGCATATAAAATCACAAAACGTAAAGCTTATATGAAACAGCTAATGCAAAAGAAATGAGCAGATGATGAATTCAGACGAAAAGAAAATAAAGGAAAAAGAGACAAAGCCAAAACATCTGTACATGAGCTCAGAAAAGGTAATATGTAATACAGCAGCAGCAAAATTAATATCACCTGACAACAATAATGAGTCAAGTAATAAAATAATAGACCAATTTCACAAGAATATTAGGAGTGGTCCAGAGTATATATGTACCTGTTGTGATCAATTGTGATACAAATCATCAGTCACAAAGTGCAATGTAAATAATTATAGCAAATGTCCACAAAATATTGTTGAATCTTGTATTACAGGGAAAAAAGTCTGATGATACTGAATGCATCTGTAGCACTTGCCATTCAAACCTAAAAGACAGCAAGCCACCGCAGTGCTCAAAGGCAAATGGCTGAGTTTCCCTGACTGAAAACCTGCAGTGCTTGATTTGACTCCACTAGAGGAAAGGCTTGTATCACCACGTATTTCTTTCATGCAAATTCGTGCACTTCCGAGAGGGGGTCAGCTTCTAATTCATGGCAACACAGTTAATGTTCCAAGTGATGTAGATTCAACAGTGGACACACTGCCTAGACCTATCAGTGAGTCGATCACAAACAACTCCAATAAAGCTGAAGAGAAGTCTGAGTTATAAGCACCATTATCAGTTTCAAAATGTTAGACCTATGAAAGTATTAGAAGCAGCCAAATATCTTGTCAGTACTAGTGAGTTGTTTTAAGAGCGAATGTTACCAACGGTCAAACATTTGGTGGCAACAGCCAAAAAATTGATATGGCTCATATTCTCAAGTTAGAGAGGCCTTATGGTGAAACAAAGCACTGCAACAATCAGCAATATGAATGTCATACCAAAATACTACAAAAAGCCATAGACGATTTCAACAGTGATTACTGTGATAGCCATAATAATGTGGCAACCAATACACAACACAATAATGAGCAAGACTGTGCACAAAAACAAAAACCAAGTGAATTGTTTGGCTGTTTCGATCCAGCGGACAACAAGCTTCATAGCCAGTACGACTTGCTCGATGACATTGGTATATTTCCTAGACGCAATGACCACGAAGAATTAGTTATCAAGCGTTTATCTGATGCTGAATATTATTAGCTGGTACGCTCATTGAATGAAAAAACGAAGGCAGTTTTTCTATTATGTACTACACTATCAAAACATGTGACAAGCCTCTAGAGCTCTTTTTGTCAAGTGGTGCAGGTGTTGGTAAATCAACTGTTACAAATGCATTGTATAAAGCACTGATCCGATACCTCAGTAGCCTACCTGCTGAAAATCCAGATGAGGTTAAAGTACTAAAAGCAGCCCCTACAGGGAAAGCAGCCTTTAATATCAATGGAAACACTTTACATTCAACTTTTAAAGTGCCAGCCGATAGAGGATTTGAGTACTGTAAACTTGATAGTGACAGGCTAAACACATTAAGAACAAAATTATCCAAACTAAGAGTATTATTTATTGATGAGATCTTTATGGTAGGAAGTGGTATGTTTAATTTCTTGAATTTGAGGTTACAACAAATAATGGGCACAAAGGAGCCATTTGGAGGAATGTGTCTTAACTGTTGGAGATTTGTTCCAATTAAAACCTGTTTTTGATAGCTGGATATTTAAAAATCCCAACACTTGCTATGGTGCTTTAGCAACAAACCTGTGGACAAAATACTTCACCTTATTTGAGCTAACACAGATAATGAGGCAAAAAGATGACAAGCAGTTTGCAGAGCTGCTCAATCGTTTGAGAGAAGGAAAGTATACCAAGGACGACATGTTAACCTTAAAACAAAGAGGTCTGTATAATATGATTTCAGAAGAAAGTAACTTGTATCCTAAGAATATCACGCATCTATTCACAACAAATGCACCTGTCAATGCCCACAATAACAAAATATATACCTCATCAAACGCTGATAAAGCACAGATCAAAGCAATAGATATTGTCATTGGAGACATTTCTGATGAGCTAAAAAAACAAATGAAAGAAAAAGTACCAGATGAGTCAACTAAAACAATGGGCTTATACTCACTTGTCCAAATAGCAACTGGTGCAAAATATGATTTAACGAGCAATATTGATGTTACTGATGGTTTGACCAATGGTGCAGAAAGTATGATAAAAAGCATAGATTATAGGGTTGAGAACTCTAGCAAACCAAGTATAATATGGGTGTCTTTTTCTGATCGAGGCATTGGGAGAAAACAACGCCAAGAAAACTGCCATCTTTATCACAACAAAAATACAACACGTACAAAGTCTCCGCCGACAGTTTCCATTCAGACTTGCACCTGCAAAGACTATTCATGGTTGTCAAGGGGACACTTTAGATGCAGCAGTTGTTAATTTTCCCATCTTCAACAAAAGAGCATATGCATTATGTTGGCTTAGGTCGCGTCCGAAACAGTTAAAATCTGTACATTATGAATTTAAATGAGCAGAAAATAAAAGTAAATGAAAATGTAGCACAAGAAATGGAAAGACTAAGAAATGAAGCAACTCTCACTCCACGAGCTTCACTTCAAAATACAGATTCATCAGTATTCACTGTCATATTCCATAATGTTAGATCTTTACATTTACATATTATTTGTGTGGAAACAGGGCTTTGTTCAGTAGATACAAATGATAACTACAATTTACCAAGTTTTCAACTTTACAGAAATGACTATAGCCAGTCAAATTTCAGAAGTATCTATCGTACTGCTATGTTTGTAGCAAATAACATTCTTTGTTCACAAATTCCATATAGATTAAACTACAACCAAGTAGAAATTACAATCGCGGTTACCCATTATCCAGTTAAACACCTGCATGTCATCGGTATCTATCGCTCTGAGAGCAAAGTCACAATAACAAAGCTTATTGGTGCTTTAAAACATCTTCATGATATAAAACTAGCTAATGTTGTACCTACCCTTAATTCTTGGAGACTTCAATGTAAACTTGTTCAAAGAGACATCAGACAAAAAGGCACTCTCAAAATATTTAATTAAGCAAAAGGGATACACACAATTAATTACACAATTCACAACTGATTATTGCACATTGATAGATCATATATACACAAATGTACCACATCTTGTTACATCATCAGGTGTTCTTGAATCCTATTCCAGTGATCATAAACCAGTAATTGTCTCTTTGACATCTAAGTAAGATATCGGACTTTTTCATGCTGATTAGTAGCTAAAAATAAGTTATCGTCTACAAAACAAAAAAAGGCAAAACTGCACAAACCAATTTGCATAATGAAGCACCCTGAGGGTGTTAACGAAATATCCCCGTCATGGACAACGGAGTCCTATTTATATAAAACAGGTAAGATACAAAAGTGTATCGCAGAGTTGCCTGTTCCAGGCTCTCAGTCAGTGGAGTGCGCAAAGAAAGGCAACGTGAGCGAACGAAAAAACAAGGGAAACTCTTCTCGTTTTTTCGTTTGTTCGCTCGTTTCACACGCATTACCTTTCTTCGCGCGCTCCACTGACCAAGAGCCTGGAACAGGCCAACTCTACAGGGCTTTCACATTGCGTGTGCACGAGCCACTTCTTTACATGTCTTTACTATAATAAAATTAACCTTGTTTCTCTCTTAAATTTCAGCTTACATATTTAACTATAAATGGGCATACTGTCTAAAAACAATCAGTGGATCACAAGAGTATGCAAGTGCTGGTGATTTCCTGTTCAAGTATTGACAATACCTTAAAGTCACAATTCCAAGCTACAGAGTGTACATCTCACACCATCATTGATGGAGAGAGTTATTCTTTACTAATGCCACTAAAGGATAATGCTGATGCAGATCAAGCAAACAAAATACAAGTTGAACCCATGTTATCACAACATTATCAAGAACTAATTTAAGAAACAATATGCCCATTGCAGCAAGAAGGACATCATGCCGCCATGACCAGGTTTTACTAATTATTGAAAAAGAATGTGACAACATGTACAGCCTGCGCAACTGCCATAAACCATGATTAAATAATAAATCCATGGAGCACACTGAAAATTCCTGTACGCTAAAATACCTGACATTTTACTTTCTTTCATATACAAACTTGGGTGTAATAGCAACTATATATTTCCACATGTTATATAAATCAAATAATCAAGGGCTTCATGCTATACATAGAATATGCTGCTGAACTCAACAAGACTGATCATGTCACTCTGATGAAAAAAAAAATTATACACACTATTTTTGATCATTCCATCTTTGGCTATCATTTAACTTTTGCAAAAAACAATACTCCTAATTCCAAAATGGCGGCGGCCGATGAGAGTCTGGATCGAATAGCATGAAAACGAGGCATCGAGGGCCAAGTCTCGTGTTTACGTATGTAAATTAATGGCAAAGAAAAAGAGCATCATGCCGCAAAATTGCTGTGTGCCTGGATGCACTAAGAAAGTTTACGAAGAAGATGGTATTAAGATCTCTTACCACAAGTTTCCTGAAAATAGAGATTTATTTATGAAGTGGATCGTTGCCATTCGAAGAGATGAGGGTAAAGATTTCAAGGTGACAGAACACACGAGAGTTTGCTCGCGACATTTCAAATCGTCAGATTATCTACCGTCACTCACAGGCCGTAAAAAGAGTTTGAAATCCATGGCAGTCCCATCTTTGTTTCCTTGGAAGCAGGGTTCGCCGATCAAGCGAAAATCACCGAGGAAAAGAACTCTGATTTTGAAAAAAACCGCGACAAAATCACAGGAGACGACAATTGCGCCAGCACGAGTCGACAACTGTTCCACGTGCGATCTAGTGACATTTCAAGAATCTCGCGCTTCCTCCCCGCCAACACTAGCGGATTCGGCAAGCACCACAGTAGAAGAACCAGCTGAGGATCTGGAAGCTCTTATTTGCGAACTTAAACTTGAAAATGAACGGCTTGTCGGGGAAATCCGTAAAATCACTATTTCAAATAACAATTTCCAGTCGGAAGTAGAGGAACTTAAACGCCGGAACGATTCCTTGCAGTCAAGAGTGTTCTGCATTGAGAAATTTTTGCCCTCGGAGAAGGATATCGCTTTTTATACGGGGTTCCCAAACAAAAATGTCTTAGAAAGTGTTTTCGCGTTTTTAGATCCTGGTAAGAAAGGGGAAAATATAAATTACTGGCACTCGGATTCACCATGTGATGTCCCCTCCCCACCCTGTCAGAGGGATGAGGAAGATATTCCCAAGCAGGGTAGGCCACGCCAATTGAGCCCAAAGGAAGAATTCTTTTTGACCCTTTGCAGACTAAGGCAGGGGTTCAAGGAGGAGCATTTAAGCCACTTGTATGGAGTCTCACAGACAACAGTAAGCAGAATAATAATTTCATGGATAAATTTTATGTTCTTAAAATTCAGTGTAATTCCAGTGTGGCCATCAAGAGCAAAAGTGGATTTGTGCATGCCTGCTGACTTTAAAGACAAATACCCCTCAACTAGGGTCGTTATTGACTGTACTGAGGTACGATGCCAGATGCCCAAGAGTCTACGCCTTAACAGTGAACTTTTTAGTTCTTACAAAAACCACACAACTCTTAAAGGTTTGATTGGCATCTCACCAGGAGGTGCTATTACCTTCATCAGCCAGCTATACACTGGTCATATTTCTGACAGGGAAATTGTTACAAGATCAGGATTTCTGAATCTGCCTTTTAATAGGGGAGATTCTGTCATGGCCGATAAAGGCTTTACTATTCAGGACCTTCTACCCCTTGGAGTGTCCCTAAATATTCCACCTTTTTTGGGAAGCAAGGGTCAAATGAGCGCAGCAGAAGTTGTTGAGACACAGTCGATCGCTTCTGTTCGGATTCATGTTGAAAGGGCAATAAATAAAATTAAAAATTTTCATATATGGGATAGTGTAGTACCGTTCACCCTGTTTGGGGTTGTAAACCAAATGTGGGCGGTATGTGCCATGCTATGCAATTTTCAGAACAGCATCATAAGTGCATAACTTGTTTTGATAGCAAAATATTTATGTTTGAGGGAAAACTGAAAAAGGCCCTGGTGTTGAAATCTCTTGGCAAATGATTTTTTTAATTCAATTCTTATCCTTTTAGTTTTTATTTTGTATGTAAAATTTTCAAGAAGTAAGTTGTAAAATAACTTTTTGGGCTAATTAACAGCACGATGTTTGTTGAAATTGTGCATTGCCACGTGATGTAGACACCGTAGAGACTTGCGCTATGATTACAAAATTGCAATCCAATATATAGTAATTTTGCAAATATTTTTCTATTCAATAGTCTCAACTGACACTGAAATATTTGCCAGTATTTTTTATTATTACAATAAATTATGATAAAAGGCCAGTTGTCTTTGTCAGGGTATTTGGTTTCTATAAAAAAAAAAAAAGAAAAAGAAAAAAAACTACAGTTGGCTCCCGATTACTTGAACCCTCTGGGAAATAGCAATGATTTGAGTTATCGAGGGTAAAAATCATATAGAAAATGACCTCAAGGAAAATGTAAATTACTTCGAGTTAGCGGTAAGTTAGAGAGGGTTCGTCAATTATCTGAGTCAAATGTAGTCTAACTTGATTTCTTTACACATTTATGATCACGACTAACTTCATATGAATAGATCATGAGTATTCATTAGACAATAAAATTTGTAACATACTGCTTTGTATTTTTTGGCTATGTTTTACAGAGCAGCAACTGGAAGAAAGTGCTTGAAATAATAGTCACATAGTTTTCCACATAAGTTGTGATTGACATTTGCAAGTTTCTGCTACAAGAAGGCATGGAGTGTGTCCTGACAGAACGTTTCTGCCAGTACCCAGCTGAGGAATACTTTGGTAGCCAAAGAAAATTGGGGCGAAGAAATGACAACCCAGACATCTGCACATTTGGATACAATGACAATACCATTCGTGTCCAAAGGACAATATCTTGTGAAAGTGGAAACACTCGAGGAAGACAAGATAAACGTAGGGCATGGGAGCAAGTAACACTTACCAGGTTCACAGCTGCCATGAAGTCATCTTGTATTCTCTCATCTTCTTCTAAAACATCTAAAATAGCTTCTAAATCATTACCAAACATGAACAGCGCGTCTGTCTCGTCCGCCACATTGCTTTATGGTGTGGTGGGTCACGATCACATGATGGACCCGTTCAACCTCAAAAGCGAAACAATAGGCCGTCCTTTTGAAGTTTGCCAGGTTTCATAACCAGTTCCTATGGTGCAACTTTCCTTATGTTGACAGTATGATAACATCTAACAACAAACTGTTTGGAAATTGAGTGACTGGACTCTTGCAAGGACTGCACATTCATGGAATCTATGCAGTAGAAACTCTTTGTTATTGTCAATGAAATCTACGATGCCTGACATTATTTAACTGAGCAAGTAGTCATCAAAACAGAAGAGTATTAAACACACTGATTGGATACTACTACAATAACTGTCTTTACCTCTGCTGGAAAGAGATTATTCCTGTCACATTATATAAGGCCATCAAGTAAAATGCCTCAATAATAAATTTACCATAAACTCCATGCAACTTGACAGCTTGAAGTTAACAATGATGCACTTTTCATGTTGAGATGCAATCATATAAATTGATCCTATTCTCTTAACAAAGTGACATTAATTCTTGACCATCAGGTGCTATCTTCAGAAATGTGCGAAGTCATGGTCCCCCCTGGACACAACAATGACACTTATTGTACATTGTAGTCATCATCAGTATTCTCATTGGCTAAAATCCTACAGTTAATTCTAGGAAACAGTGCAACCTACAGATTATTCATTAATCTGCTAGCAGATTATTCATTAATCTGCTAGCAGATTATTCTGCAAAAGCAATGTCAAGTTCACACAGCGAAGTACGAACATGCCTGGTTGATTCACTTCTTCAACATAAATGCATTTTTTTTATTTTCTTTAAATCAATGTATAATAATGATTACTAGATTCGGTTTTTGTTATATCCACAATCATCAAGGTCTCTGTAAGTGTTATCAACCTCAACCTTTGGCTGATAACACTTACCGAGACCTTGATCATTCTGGCCGTCACTAAAACCTCATGCAATAATTTTTTTTAGCATAAGCATGAGGAGAAGAATGCAAGGTGTTGATATTCTTATTTCTCGTAGACCTTATTCATAAATGGCCGCTGCGCGGAAACAGCCTGGTTTGGAATGCATGAAAGCAAGGCTTAGTAGGCCAAGGTTCACAGATCAAAACAAAACCACAATGGCATCTCACAGATCTTCTGATGGAACTGCACATGTGATACTCACAGAAGATGATATTCCTGGAGCTTCCTTAGCTGGTAGAAATCCTTCTTCACTGAAAAATGACGAGCTAAAGTTTTGGTTAAGATGTCACGGCGATTCACTCAAGGGTCTTAAGACAAAAGCACAGCTCATAAAATGGTGAGAGCTAAGTTCATGAGTGATATCACGTGCAGTTTAGAGTTTACGTAAACGTGCAGTTGAGAATTATTGCTTTATTATATTGCAGAGTCCAAGACTACGTTGAAAATGGAAGGGATAAATTGCTGGTTGACCCTGATGCAGATAAAATTTACACGAAAAGGAAGGCAAGGTTTTCGAGTTTACTACCAAACGATTATGTCTCTCCTGTCACCTCAAGTGTGAAATACCTGAGCGATAGATGGGGAAAGTCGCTTGTGAGGATGCCGTGCTTCACAAGAGCCGAAATGAACCAGCACGTGGCAAATTCTGGAAAGCGAGTTGCAAATGCCTAGCACCACTCAATTCCAACTAATTTAAAGAAGGCAAAAACATTTCTGAAGGACGAATACCTAAAGGAAATTAAGGCAAACAGTGACCAAAGGTATTTTTATTTGAAAGCAATTGCTATCACAGTTTCAGGAAAAGTGAAGCTCAACGTGATCTTCGTCTTGCCATGTACATTGTCTCAGGCCAACTCATACATGCCAACTGTTCATGCAAAGCTGGCAAAGTGGGATATTGTAACCACGTTTTTGCTTTAATGTTTAAAGCGTGCAAGTTTAGTTTAATTGAGAGCAAGAGCACAGAAGATTTGTTCCAGGAGGATGATGAACAACCAGATCTCGCCAGCACATCCCAGCTTCAAAGATGGCACAAGAAGGGTCGTGGGGACAAAATATCTGCTCAACCCATAATGGAAGTTACCATTTCGAAAACACAGTTGGATGATACCAAAAGGAGGAAAGGATTCAAGTGCTTATTGTAAGATGCAAGGTCAAACCCTGTACATGACGTCCAAGCAGAAATTAATCTGAAAAAAAAACCTTCAAAACATAAATCCACAAATGGGTTTAGCAGTTCTGGCAAAAGATGATTCCACTCCCAAAAGTTGTGTTATGACCAAATTTGGTGAAAGCCAAATTGGCTCACTTTGCAGCTACCACTTGACTCCTACTGAAGCAAACTTTGTGGCTACATTTGACATTTCTATTCCAAGAGCTGACATGGATGAAGCAGAGTTAACCTATCCCAGGTTCCCGTTAAACTCAGGCAGTGATTTTGTCAGGCCTGACAACCTGTGTCATTCTGAAGAGACACTTGTTAGTTCGCTTGTTGTTGATGAAAACACGATAAACAAGATTGAAGGAGCCACAAGAGGTCAAACAACAAAAGCTTAGATTCACTGCTTCAAAGTTTGACCTCATTTCAAAAAGACAATGGAATCATGATAAGTTTGCAATGGATCTCATCAATCCAAAAGCATTTACCTCAAGGTATGCGGAGCTGGTCTAAAATATGAACCCGTTGCATGCTCTCCAGGAATATGAGAAAATCATGCTTGCACGAAAGACACCTGTTAAGGTTCTCAAGAGTGATTTTGTTGTTTCCCTGGATATGCCTTTTCTAGGGTGCTAACCAGATGGCAGGGTTGTAGATTTTGGATGCCATGATCATTTTGGACTTGCTGAAGTGAAGTGTCCTGAAACAAAATTTCAAGTCACTCCACTAGAAGCCTGTCAAGACCCCAAATTCTTTTGTGCAGCTGTCAATAGACAATGTAAACTGAAAAAGAATCATGCTTACTATACTAAAGTGCAAGGCCAAATGGATGTGAGTGGGGCAAGATGGTGTGACTTCATTGTCTACACAAAAAAGGGAATTTCAGTGGAAAGAATTCCCTTTGATGCTGCTTAATTACTGGGAAACTCTGAAGCAAAAACTGCACACATATTACCTTACCCATTTTATTAAAATTGCAGCAAGTTAGTTTGCAAGATGCTAAACTACCACTTATACTTCTTTCAGTGCTGTATATACAATGTAAATAGTTGTGTTAAGGATACTCAAACGATTCATTCAGTCTAAGTGGAATTTGATTTGTTTGTTAGCAGTTACTTTAGTTACGGATGTGGTTACGTTGATGTCTATTCTCGATTGGTTTGTAATCAGATATTTTAGCATCCCCACGCGCAAATAAAAGCCTTGTTTAGCGTCCCTTTAGCCAGTGTATAATTGTATTTCGCCTTGTCCATTCTATCTGTTCGACTTGCCGTTTTTTGGTTCTTAACCTTTGGCACAAGGGGGACCGATATGTGAGTAATTTTGCTAGATTCCTCCTTTGATTAGTTTTCTTGTTTTGGGTAGAAGCACGCTAACGTACAGAGTTGTACAATAGTACAATTTATAGTTCTCAATCTAAAGGGGGCGAATCAAAGAATGAGACGCTAAGCTGGGAACGCCCATTTTGTTAATCTTACAATCGATTTAAATCTTGAGTTATTTTGATATAGCTTATTATGATTTTCGAGTATTCCTGTTGATTGTTGCTAATTTTGATCGCGTTATCGACGGAGGCAGGTTAATTGCTCTAAGCGTTTTGTTCATGAGTTACACAACGTTTTAAGTAAATTGCATTGTTATTTCAGTTTACGATCGTGATTGTCTATCGTGGTTCGCTATCGTTCATCATCATTAAATCACCGTTAACCGTCAACCTTGGTTTTCCGTGGTTATTGGTACTTGAAG